GGAAGCCGCCGCTCAACGTCGTCCCTTTTTTCCAGGAGGGGATGATGCGGGTCAAGCGCGCCATCAAACCGGACGTCCAAGCCGTGCGTTGCTTCTAACTGCACGGCGCCAACAACCAACCGACGGCTACCGCCGTCGTTCTCCGCGCTGACACCGGCCGCCTCGCCCTCACCAACAACGTCGTATGGGTCAACCGCCGAGCAGCAGCGCCGGCGCCGGTACCGGGCAGCGGGGGGGGTTCTTCGGTCACCGCGGCGCGCTCGCCGGCCGCCGCCGTACCTGCGGCCGCTGCCGCACCGCCGCCGCCCCCGCCAGCGAGGACCTACTCGTACACTTCGCATGCCCGAAGGACCACCGCAGAGCCGCCCGCTACCCCGTCGATCTTCACAGGATCTTGAGCGCCGTCGCCGATCTCCGTCGCACCATCCTTAGCCCCGCCGTCGACCGCAGCCACGCCACACCGTTCGCCGCCAGGCCTGACGCCGCCGCCGCAGCCCGCCAACGCCGCCACCCTCGCTCCTTCGCACCCGCCGCTGACATCGCGCGCCTTCAGGGAGTTGGGAGGATCGAAAGAATGGCGTGGGGCAGCTGGAAGGGTTCACGGCCGCACACGCGGCGACGCCGTACGCTTCATCGACGAGCATCAGAAACCGCCGGCGCCGCCGGATGGCAACGCCGCTCAGCATCGTCTTGGCCTGTTGGCCATGATGGACAAGGACGCCCTGATCTCTTCGCTGGCGACCCGGGAGGCCGTCGGCCAAGGACGCCATGAACCACCGCTGCCGCCGCCGCCGCCGCCGGATCCAAGCTTTGGAGGCCGTGGGAGCGGGGGGGCCGTGGGAGCTGGGGGGGCCGTGGTATCCGGATGGGGGGAAAGCCAACATGGGTTCGCGGCGAAGTTCGCCACCCGCGAGGACGTTGACGCCGCTCTTCGCGCCGAGCGCCCACCTGACAAGATGCCGGACCTTCCTCACTGCCTCGCCAGCGACCTCCGAGTGCCGAAAACGTTCAAGGAGGCCATGCGGTCTCAACATTTGTGGGATGATGCAGTCGGTCGGGAGTTTTTCGGTCTGCTGGATGCAGGTACTTTTAGTCCGGTGTAGCAACCAGTAGAAAACTTCATCAACGCCAAGTGGGTATTCAACTGTAAGGCAGACGAGTACGGATGGCCGACGAAATTCAAGGCACGACTTGTAGCGCGAGGGGACATGCAGAGGGCTTCGATTGATTTTGGAGAATTGTTTGCACCCACCGTATCCGTGTCTAGTGTGCGTTTGTTGGCAGCATTGGCATGTGAGCAGAACCTTGACTTGTGCCATTTCGATATTCAGCAGGCATTTGTGCAGTCTGAACTTGAAGAGGATGTTTTCATGCGTCTCCCGCAAGGTTGTGGTTGGTTATCTGGACTTTTCGTGGAGCTATTCCAGAGTTAGTACGGTTTGAAGCAGGCATCACGACAATGGCATGCTCACCTGACGAGGTGTTTGTTACTATTAGGATTTGTGCAATGTTTGGCGGTGTTTTTCGATTGATTGAGGATGGATGTGTGATCATGATCATTGTGGTCCACGTGGATGACATTTTTGCCGTAGCGCAGAAGGAGAGGTGTGACAAGTTTGGGAGTGACCTCAACGAGATGGTCCCCGTGAAAAACCTTGTGGAGTTGAGGTGGTACTCCGCGNCTTTTAGGATTTGTGCAATGTTTGGCGGATGCATGTGTTTTTCGATTGATGGAGGATGGATGTGTGATCATGATCATTGTGGTCCACGTTGATGACATTTTTGCCGTAGGGCAGAAGGAGAGGTGTGACAAGTTTGGCAGTGACCTCAACGAGATGGTCCCCGTGAAAAACCTTGGGGAGTTGAGGTGGTACTCCGCGCGCTTTTACCAGAGAGGTCTAGAGAGAGGCCTTTCGAGGATCTCGCAGCAAAGGTTTGCAGAAGAGTTGGCTGCAGAGTACGGCGTTGAGTGGGGGAAGAGTGTGCCCTTGCCTGTGAGCGTGAAGCTCACCGACTTTGACGAAAACGAAGCGTGTGCTGATGTCCCGTTTCGCGAGTTGGTAGGATCTCTGATGTGGTTGGCCACTCAAACCAGGCCGGACATCGCGAATGCAGTACGAGCAGTAGCGCGGTATTGCGCGTCTCCCAAGATGGTGCACTGGAAGGCAGCACTTGGTATTTTAGGGTACGTGCGTAGGACGAGTTGGATGGGGATTACATTTGAGAGGGGAGTGGTCACTGGCATGAGCATGCAGGTGTTTGTGGATGCCGACTATGCAAGCAAGGCAGCAGACCGTAGGTCGGTCTCAAAAGGACTAGTGATGTGTGGAGGTGGGTGTGTGACTTGGTTTTCGAGGACGCAGAAGTGCGTTACGCTTTCNTAGGCAGTAGCGCGGTATTGCGCGTCTCCCAAGATGGTGCACTGGAAGGCAGCACTTGGTATTTTAGGGTACGTGCGTAGGACGAGTTGGATGGGGATTACATTTGAGAGGGGAGTGGTCACTGGCATGAGCATGCAGGTGTTTGTGGATGCCGACTATGCAAGCAAGGCAGCAGACCGTAGGTCGGTCTCAGGAGGACTAGTGATGTGTGGGGGTGGGTGTGTGACTTGGTTTTCGAGGACGCAGAAGTGCGTCACGCTCTCCACAACGGAAGCAGAGTATNCGGCATCACTTTATCTGGGAGCTGGTAGAGAGGAAAGAGGTCTTAATTACTCATGTGCCGACGCAATTTTAGCATGCAGATTTCTTGACGAAGGCTATTATTAGCAAAGAGTCTTTTGCGTTGCACCGCCGTGACTTTGTGATGAACTTGCAGTGAAGGAAGTGTTTTGGGGTCGATTCGTATTCTGTAGCGGAGAGAGAAAGAGAGAGACGAGATTGGACAAGAGAAAGAGAGAGTCTGGTGAAGGTGGTAAGAGCGTTGGGGTTGTGTTGGGATTGTTCTAGGTTTTTTTGGAGGAGTTTTGGTTGTGTTTGTNCGAGAGAGTCTGGTGAAGGTGGTAAGAGTGTTGGAGTTGTGGTGGGATTGTGCTAGGTTGTTTTGGAAGAGTTACGGTTGTGTTTGTTTTTTCTTGATTGTTTTGAAGGTGTTTTAATTGCGTATTTTTCTTGTGATGGACTTGGAGGATTTTGGATTGTTTTTGGCGAAGATATTGGTTTTTGTTTGTTTTGAGAATTTTCTTGGTTTGTTTTGGAGAGATGGTAAAGAGGAATTTGGTTTTTCTCGGAGCATGACGATGCATACGAGTAGGGGGGCTGTTAGATATACTGGGGGGACTCGTAGCATAGTATGACGGTTGAGATGTTAAGTACGTACGTACGAAAATCGCAGTGATGAGATGCGGAGGAACAGGAACTTTCTACATATTTTCCATGGTTGTGAGAGGCTTTTGGTGAAGATTCACAGAGATTCGTTGTGTGAGAAAGCATGAAGGCGTGTCTCGATACCGTGATGNGTTAGATATACTGGGGGGACTCGTAGCATAGTATGACGGTTGAGATGTTAAGTACGTACGTACGAAAATCGCAGTGATGAGATGCGGAGGAACAGGAACTTTCTACATATTTTCCTTGGTTGTGAGAGGCTTTTGGTGAGGATTCAGAGAGATTCGTTGTGTGAGAAAGCATGAAGGCGTGACTCGATACCGTGATGGTTTGACGAGCACGAGCACGCCCCCGATNAGGCTTTTGGTGAAGATTCACAGAGATTCGTTGTGTGAGAAAGCATGAAGGCGTGTCTCGATACCGTGATGGTTTGGCGAGCACGAGCACGCCCCGATTAATTCAACACGTTTTTCAATACGTCTGCACGACTTTACCTACCCCTACGGCCCGTCATGGCCGAGATGCTCTACACTCCCATCACACACAACTGAGCCACCCGAATTGTCGATCAAGTCCAGGGGAGAGGTAGGGCAACACCACTCCTTCTGTTCCACATACCAACGGGAGCACCTCCAATGCGTACGTAGCATTAGACCCGTAGGAGGCCCGTTGATGCCCGTGGCCCCGTGTCGTGCCGACACCCATCAACCAAACAATCGTACATCCCCCTCTGGCCTCCGTTTGTTGTCGCGTTCCTCCTTTCTGTCCCTGCCACGTGGATTCAAGGCCCCTCCGACTGACCTCATCATGGCCAACGGGCAGCGAGGACGAGGCCGTCGTGCTGTTGGTGGCGGTGTCGGTGCTTCGTGTTCTACGGGTGACCACGGTGATGATCCGAAGAGCGCAACGAACATCTGCGAGGTGTTGGCTTCGCACTGCGTGAAGGAGTGGGACGGGCAAAGAACATGACGTTGTTGGCGGAAAACAGCAGGCAAACCAGCCCGACCGCGGTGCAGGAAGTTGTCGAGAGAATCCAATCTCATGGATGGGTGGATAGCTTTCCGTGAGTGATGTTCTCGGATCTGGCAGAAGGGCAAGAGATGACCGTCGAGCTCGCGGCTACGCCACATGCCGTCGCCATCGATGGAAATCAACGCTTGGCTGCCTGCAAGGAGGTGTTCGGAGAAGATCGGCTGATCAGGTACACGTGCTACCGGTTCATCGCGGATAGCTTCGCCAGGCAAATCGCCTCTGACGGTGAGATGGAAGAGTGTACTCTCCACAGTGGATGAAGCAAACACGTTCTTCTTGGGCAGACGTCTGTTTTTTACAACTCTTGTGACCTGCTCTCAAACACATCTATCGCCTTTCACGCCTCTCCACAGAAATTGGGTCAGATTATGTACTTTGGGGGGTACGCATATGCTACGTACATGTATTCTATGCATGTATGGTGTGTGTAGCAGTCGAGGTGTCAGACGATGATGTTACAACGGCAGCAGCAGCAACGAAGAGATGAGCACGTCGCTGCTCGCGCGCCTCTTCACGTGCGGAATACCGAATTTATTATCGATACCACGAGGAACACAGCAGCACTGCAACAAGAAGACTAGCATACGATGTACCCTTTTGAGACACTCCAAAGAATAACACCATAAGTTGGTGTACTGCGGTACAGCAGTTCCTGGCACAACGACAAGGTAATGACGGTAGTGACTCCTCAACAACGCACCCAAAAAAATCCAATGGATCGGTGATTCGTATCCTGGGCCACCGCTGCCGCCGCCGCTGTACACCCCAATGTGCAACGTCACGACGGCCACGTTCCAAGCGCGGACAATCTACGACCAGGTCTTTTTCTACAATAGGATGATGAATTTGCTGATGGCCCAGGGGAGCGAGTCATCATCAGCTCGCCGGTGGTCTTGTAATAGTCATTCGAAACCGCCTGTCACCGTGGCTAAGCTAGGGGCGTGCTGGAAGGGGGTGAGTGCGACTGAAACAATATTTTGGCGGCACACTCATCACCTAGTCACCGTGTAGTATTTTCACTGCATCCACTCTTCCAGTTGGTTGTTGTCCCGTATCGCTATTGGTTAAGTATGCATCCATATTTCTGGTGGGTGTTTTTTCCTGTAGCCTGTCACCGACGTCAGGCCATGTCGCTGTACAAGCACCAGTATTGTCTTAGTATAACAGTGTTTTCCCTGCTTTTTGCTGCAATATTCAGGCTGGTAGCAAGGCACGGACAGCCAACACCCTTCGCCAGGGTGGATTTCTATCGTCAACGACACGAGCCAGGAAGCACTGGTGGTGCTTCGTGCTTTGACGGAACAACGCGTTCCAGGGTACCAAAGCGTCACCAAGGCCTTCCTCGCCGACCCTCGTGTGCGGGAGTCGAAGGAAGAGCAGCCGCAAACCCAGGCCCTCCTTATCGACATTTACGCGAGGTACGCAATATGGGAGGCAACGAGTAAGATCAGTCAAGTTTGATACATGAACAGGTTTCGTTCGTGGTTAACATCCTCTGCAACTAACTGTATTGCTGTCGGTACGATGGTGTTTTTGTCAAAGTCTCTACGCTGCCATGTAGATCACTCGTGTATACCAAAAAGCGGACGATCAGTGTCAAGACGCATGCATACATACTCTCCTCGATTAGAACCCCACCGTGTGTTTTGGGTACTTGTGCAGGATGCCGAAGACGTCCAAAAACGTAGAGCGCGAGGGGATGGACGAGATAGGCTGGGCATTGGCTCGGGCGAAGATGACGGCGTCTTGGGTCGAGAGTACTGAGCACAGAGTGCCCAGAGACCAATGGTCAGACAAGCTGAAGGAGTGAGTGCAGCGACAACGTAGATTGGGGCCCGGTACTCGGCAGTTTGGTTCTTTCGGTGATTGTCCGTGATTGGTAGGGACAACAACAGAAAGACGACGACGAACGTTCACAAACCTCGACCGCATTCAATATCTTCCCCGGGTTCCCATGCCCACACCAACAGTACCTTTTGCGACTTCGCGTTCGTGAAGACCGGCCACTGCGCTGACTACGTCAAGCCACACCAGTTTGAGAGAGAGGTGGAGGTACGCGAGCTCCGCGAGTTGCTTCCTCCGCACGTCAAGGAGCTCGACGAAGATGTAGTCCTGGCGATTCGCTCGAAGCAACATGCCAGCATCAGGAAAGTGAATCCCGTAGGGCGTCTGCGTGTGCTTTGTTCGCCTAAGGTTACTTGTAGCATTTTCATTTGGGGTTCGAGTGCTGTACAGGTTATGGTGGATGGGGGCAGCCCAGAACTAGACTAGTTATTATGTGTTTCTTTTGCTGTTTTGCATATTCACACACCCTTCATTTCCCCCTGCCCGTTGTTGTGACGGGTTTCACTAGCACATCTGCAATCACTCGGATAGGGGCGAGCGAGGAGGGACGGTAGCGTTTCTCCGCGCAAACAACTACAGGCGGGACAAAGTCGCGGGTGGAAGCCCAAAGTTTTGTTGTTTTCTGTTGGTTCTTGGTATGGCAGGTCATGCGCGCAGACCTCAATTTTCGCCCGATGCTCGTCAAGCACGAGAGACTGCACGAAAGCGCTTTGAACAAGGCCAGAACCTTGAAGCTGCAAGTCACTTAGCCAGTGCAACCACGTCCACGAGAAACCGTCGGTAGCAACAACAGCGAGGGTCTTGGCTGCACCGGCTGCAAAGCACCAACCTCTTGAAGGTGAGGACCATAGAGGTAGAGGATGACCACGCCCTCTCGAACACGCCTTTATGTGCGACCTGTCCTATCGCGTGGCCGACCGCCGCAATCCACCGCTAGCCTCCGCCGCTGGCATTCCATGCCCGGTGTGACCATTCATGCCGATTTTAACACCGGTTCGTGTCCATCTTACCATTCATTATATATTTTCGCGCGGCGTCTATGTATCACGCCATGTACGAAGTATGTGTTACTTCTTATACCACACGCCATTGTTTGAACATGGCCGCCCTGTTCACGCTTGTTGTCCCTCGTCCCCCTTTTTCTTCGCTCCCCTCGCCTTCGCTATTCGTGTTCCGTCAGCAAAATTCGCCACAGTGGTGGGTGCACGAACGCCGACTTTTCGGAGGACGACGAAACGTCGAAAGTGAGAGCCTGCGAGGACTGCCACCTCAGCAAGCAGCCACAGCAGCAGCGACAGCAGCAGCCAGAGGAGCCGGAGGGTCCTGAGGAGGGGGGAGAAAAGCAGCAGGATGCCAGCAAGCGCCCCGCCCCAGGACGTTCGGGAGACGCGGAGGATCGCGGTCCGACTTCCCCCTCCGGACAAACCGGCGGGCGGGATAAGGGAAAGAGGTCCAGCAGGGACCCAACGCCCTCGTCACCGGCACCGACGTTGCCCACTCTCCCGTCCTTGCATGGCGGTACGGGTGACGACCTCAAGACCCTACGCAGGTACTGTGACAATGAATGATGAAGGCGCGATGTACACTACTAGTACAATTTCCCATGATTCCCTCTCGAGCTTGATTGTTGACGCTAGGCCCGAAGCAGAAAGAAATGAACAAGCGAATAACCCTAATTCTGACGTAGTGCTTCTTGTTACCGTGGTTTCCATGCCGCACGCCCTACCACNGGAGGGTCCTGAGGAGGGGGGAGAAAAGCAGCAGGATGCCAGCAAGCGCCCCGCCCCAGGACGTTCGGGAGACGCGGAGGATCGCGGTCCGACTTCCCCCTCCGGACAAACCGGCGGGCGGGATAAGGGAAAGAGGTCCAGCAGGGACCCAACGCCCTCGTCACCGGCACCGACGTTGCCCACTCTCCCGTCCTTGCATGGCGGTACGGGTGACGACCTCAAGACCCTACGCAGGTACTGTGACAATGAATGATGAAGGCGCGATGTACACTACTAGTACAATTTCCCATGATTCCCTCTCGAGCTTGATTGTTGACGCTAGGCCCGAAGCAGAAAGAAATGAACAAGCGAATAACCCTAATTCTGACGTAGTGCTTCTTGTTACCGTGGTTTCCATGCCGCACGCCCTACCACCCACTGCTTGCCGTCGACATACAGGGCTGAGTGCATCCGCATCAATGACGTCATGCCGGTTAGTCGTGATTTCCGCGTGGAAGGGTCCGACGCTGCTATCGAGGTCGACGGTGACAAGGCCATGCTCTTGTTCGTCGCTCTCAGTGTGAACGACGATCTGCTCGGGGACAATGCTCCCTGGAAAGACCGCCTCTGCAAGATCATCTACCGCGTCTACGACTTCTGGCACGAGCAAGGCACCATGATCGTCCACGTTCCTCACTCCTACCTACACCGTGGTCGGCGCATCAAGGTCAGTGTTGTCTATTGCTTGTTTTCTCCTCGACGAGCTTGGACATCAGCATGGTCGTCGTCGTCTCGCTTTCGAGTTTTTTTGTAGCGGGGAATGACGTGGAGTTTGGAGGGACTATCTGGGCGCGAAGAAGAAGACGCTCCCGATGCCCTTTGTCCCCTTCGTCACACACGGACTAACAGGCGCCGTCCTTTTTCGATTGTGTCTTGTTGGGTTTTTTTTTCTTCCCTTTTCACCGTGTAGACGCCCTCAAGCAGTCTGATGTGGGACTGGTTGTAGGAGACAATCCGCTGGCTTTTGTGTACGGAAAGAGGGGAGGTGGGATTACCTTTACATCCAAGGAAAACCATCTCCTTGGAGTGTCGACATCGGTCTTATCGCTCATCCCAATGGCGCTAACCTCCGATGCCACAAGGACGTGCTGTCGCAGAACTTTCCGGGAAAGTTTTGGGCAAATGGGGAGCGGATTCCTGTCAACAATGGCGATGAGGGCGTCATGAACGACGTTCCCTACCTTGGGGCTTGTCGATCGTGCCACAACAACGTCGCCTCCTGGGGGATTCAACGGTGAGCCCTTGAGTCTTGAACACGAGCCGCTTGACTCCGCGACGTCAGAGGCTAGTACTTGAAAAAAAAGTACTTCATCCTCGTCACCCATGAAATGCCGACTGGCGTGCGGGGTTTGGATATATCCCCTTTGATATAGATATATTTCTATTCCCAACTTAGTAGCAAGTTTGCGTAGATGGCGATGGGCCGGAGGGGGTGGGGTGGGGGTTACTCTCCTCGCGTTTTGCATGCCTTGGCGATGGTAGACCGTTGACCGCGCGTCCTCGACAGGACGGACCACGTGGTAGATGGGGGTGGGGTGTGTCTTCATGGGGGTGTGTATCGGCAGGATGGAAGAAACTATTTATTGTATTACGGGTGGTGTACGGGGGCTTGTCATCTTCCCTCAACTGAGAATACGCCCTCACCCTCGTTCGATGAGTGCCAAGTACCAGAATTCAAGATGCTGCACAAGCCCTACCGTATCGTCATGCCTGACAGTTCTGTATCCTCTGTCGCTTCATGCATTCCCCAAGTTTCATGAAGCAAAGGGACACCGGCATGACGCTTACCGCCGACAAGGAGGGTGTCCTCGAGAGAGCACTGAAGTACGGGCGGAATGTGGGCTTGTTCATCACGGACCTGTACGAGCGCGAAGGCATCACGAAACGGTCGGAGCGAGCCTTCGAGGATCCCTGGAGAATGGGAACATTTATGGTGGGTACCCGAACGATACTTGTTGTGCAATAGCGACATGCATTGCGGCTTTCCCCTTGTTAGCACATCCATCACACAGGTCCTCCCACCCAGTGAGTGAAGGTCGACTTGCTCGACCTTTTGCTTGCTAATGCCTCCGCTTTCCTGCCGTCGTTGGTATTTGTTGAAGGAAAGTCGTGAGGGATACGTGCGATGATTGTACGGGAAAGTTACAATACAATATATGCATAAAGTCTATATGGATACGTAGTCTGCAAGTATGAAGCGAGATATGAGATATGCATGCAGGTTACGCGGTCGTTGAGCCCGCCAACCGCCGCTCCCGCCCTTCCTTTCTGAACTCCTGTATTATTTGCTGCTTGAAATCTCCAAAGCGGAAATCACCGGCCACCAACTTCCACAAAGTCCGCCATGGAACGCTGCCGCTTGGCATTCCCTCGGATAACACCCCGCGAGGTATCGTCGACCAAATCGACACCTGGACGGAAAATTCGATTTCAGAGGGGAAGGATGGAGAACGCACTAGGATCCAACCCATGATGGAAGTGGCGTTTAAGGTGGCTCTTGACTTCCAGTGGGAAGTACGCCTGGAAGTGAGTGTATTACAAAGAGTTACCTTGCATTTTTGCAATATTGTTGGCATGTGTGTGTATGGATGTCGGGAGGTGGGCGGTCATGATGGTTTCGCCTCTCAGAATCACAGGCTTTCAACTGATAAAAAAATAATCGCGGTATCACCGAACCCTTGAGTGTGGGTAGCGTCCACCGTTTCATGCCGCAAATTCTCCACACTAATTTGCACGATATCTCCCTCGAATCTGTTGTCCGGTTTGTATAGTGCTCTACCCTGTTGTTCGTGAGGACCCTCTGCCTGCTCCTGTTCGTCTCCAACTCGTCAACCCCCAACTCTGTCCGCATGTCGTGCCGCAGCCGCCGGAAGAGGCTAGTGTGGTTCTCTTCGCCCTGGATGCCCAGCGCTACAGGGTGGGCGCTTCCGACCTGCCCGTGTGGGGGGAGTACATCGTGTACGATTCGCGCGAGGAGGTCTATGCTTCGATACAACCCGACGACAACGAGGAAAACCTCCCGTACGTGCGGCTCCTTCACGTCGCTGACACCCAACTGCTATGGCGGATGTGTAAGGAGGCCGAAGGGAGCGTCGTGTCCGAGGACGCTGGCCTCTATCTTAGGGTTGCCAAAGCTTGCCCGGCTTTCTACGCCTTGTGGGATAAATCCGGAGACAACATTGGAACCCACGAGGTTCGGAACAGGTGTGCACGAACTGACTCGACGAGCGATCTGGTTGCGAAGTTCAGAGGAACCGGTTCTATTCAGTTCCCTGTGTTCCTCAAGGTGTGCCAGAAAGTTGCTGCCAAGAACCGGGGTCGAGTGGCACACGTCCAACCAGGCTTGTCTGTCGTTCGCCCTGGATGGTACAATCGCCGGAAACGGAATCATCCAGCAACGACGAGGACGGGAGTCCCTAGAGTTGTTTTCCACACAGAGGCAGTACAGAGAAGAAGTCGACTACCGTTTTTTTTTCTTGCATTTGTTGTTTCGGCTACATGGGTAATGGCAACGGAGAGATGGTCGTCTTCAAGGAATAACAGTTGCTCTCTGTGTCATTGGCGTGGAGACTGCTCCGGTGCTAAAGGTAGTGAAAGAGGTGAGGGGGTTGTGAGGGTGTACTTTTTTTTTTTTTGGGGGGGGGGTACCGGGAGCGGAACCACACCCACACAAGACTCGTGTGTGGCGGCAGTGGTGGGTGGGCGTGTAGTCGTAACAGGGGTACTTACCAAGATTGGTGCCTTTATGGCGATTCACGCATGAGTACTTAGAGTACGGATGCGGAACCACACCCACACAAGACTCGTGTGTGGCGGCAGTGGTGGGTGGGCGTGTAGTCGTAACAGGGGTACTTACCAAGATTGGTGCCTTTATGGCGATTCACGCATGAGTACTTAGAGTACGGATGCGGAACCACACCCACACATGACTCGTGTGTGGCGGCACAACTGCCGCCACACACGAGTCATGTGTGTGAGTGGTGCGGCATTGGTGCTATAAGTACTCATGCGTGAATCGCCACGATGGCAACAACTCTGACAAGTACCCCTGTTACGACTACAAGCCCACCCACCACTGCCGCCACACACGAGTCATGCGTGTGTGTGGTTCCGCATTCGTAGTCTAAGTACTCATGCGTGAATCGCCATAAAGGCACCAATCTTGGTAAGTACCCCTGTTACGACTACAAGCCCACCCACCACTGCCGCCACACACGAGTCATATGTGTGTGTGGTTCCGCGTTCGTACTCTAAGTACTCATGCGGAAATCGCCATAAAGGCACCAATCTTGGTAAGTACCCCTGTTACCTTTACAAGCCCAACCACCACTGCCGACAGATGTTAACCAGTTCAACCTCACGCGGGCCATGGCGAGGGACGCGGAATGGGAGAAGGCGTACCGAGCTATCCAGAAGCTCTGTCCGGCGGGGGAGAGGAGTGACGCTTTGAGGCCTGGCGTCTGGCTTCAGGTGATGGACACATTCCTGGAGCCTCAGCAGATGTACATCACCAGGAAGGGCAAGACCCGAGACGTGTTCGTCGACTACCAGCGCAACCGAGTAGGAACCCGAGCTGGTGCTGTGAAAAGCGTAGAGGGTGCCAGATGTGGCGACGTAGTCATATCCTGCCGTGCTTTGCCGTGCTTGTTGTGCTTGTCAAGTAGAGATCGTGCATGTCATCTTCGGTGTCCGAAGAGAGCGTTCTTGAACATTGTTTCGCTCTGGGGCTTGGATGTAGTCGATGGTGATCCATGTGGCGCAGAACGAGGTTGCAGCACCGATTCACTTATCCTCTACCCCAACCACACACCGTCACCCCAAACAGCCCGATCATAATACCGTGCCGTGTCTCGTGCTGACCCCCGACATCCCATACCGCACTCGTGTCGGATATCTTGCCTCCCGAAAAAAGTTGCAGCCCCCCGTCGACAAGGTGAAGCTGGCGCAATCGATCAAGAGGGTATGGAACCGCGCGAAGGCGGCCTTCTTGGCAAATAAGCAGGCCGCGTCCAAGAAGACCGGAGAAGGGACGATGACAGCGGAGCAGGAGAGCGAGATTCTCGCCAATAACTCGGAGGTACGACGAACTGTTCTACATTAGACGATCAAGTAGAGTTTGGCCGGTCGCATCTTTACTTGTTGTGGTTGAACACAGTGGCTCTGTCCTAGGGAATATAGTCGAGTGGGCCGGCGGTTAGATAGGTCGCCTGTGGTCGTCAGGACGTTTGCCAATCGTAGAGTCTTGGTAGAAGACGAGGCTTGCAGCAGGTTCGGGAGCCAATCGGTGTTTGGTTTCGGAGTCGCGCGAACCCACCTTGTACTTGGTTCCCGTCAATCCCCCCTACGCTACGTTGCCGGTCCAGGACTACCATCTGATGTTGTCCATACTATACCAGCAAGCTGCGAAGGAGAAGGCGATGGCGGGCGACACGGTTGCGAAGGAGCACAGACAGGACGGCATGAGGGTGCGGGACAAGGCTGCGGGTATAACCCCCGGCGGAGGTGCCTCCGGTTCTTCAACAGGCAGGGGTGGAAGATCTGGTCGCGAGCGAGGCGGAGGTTCCGCCCGCGGTGCCTCCGACCGTGTCGGAGGTGTTGCGCGCGGGCGGGGGGCTTCGGGGAGTGCGTGAGGTAGCTCGGCCGGCGCGGGTGGGCGTGGCCGTGATTCCACCTCGGGGACCCGAGGAGGCGCTTCGGGCGGGAATGGACGCGGTCGTGCGTCTACGGGTGGTGGACTCCCCGGGTCGTCGGCTGGGAGTGGACGTGGGAACGGCTCAGCTGGCCGTAGGCGCACCTCGCGAGCGTTCGGGTTGGTCGAGCTACCCGGCCGCTCGGTTATGAACCGAGAGCAGGAGAAGGATTACTTCGCGCCCAGACGAGGCTCTTTGGAGATGGGCGGAGAGCAGCATTCACGCGACGAGGGGCAGCCCGACGGGGAGGACGACGCTGACGGCGAGGACAACGACGACGACCTTTCTTGGGCCGGGTCGTTGGGGCAGGGAGACGACGGAAACTACGGCCCTGGTAGCGTCGATCTCGAAGACGATGACGCGACGGACATTTCCGCGGGCAGGGCGGGGCGGCAGCAGCGGTCCGCGAAGGGTGGGGGGGGCATGCGGAAGCAGACGTATCGCAACCGTCCAGGTGATTCGGATGACCTTAAGAGCATCCTGAAGAAGGCGGTGAACCACGTTATCAACAAACCCAGCCACCCTCCCCAACAAGCGTCCGCTGCAGTCGACCCCGCCCTCGCTGTGCGGGTCGGGCACAACACTCAACTTGCGCAGCGCAGTCACGAGGTTGCCCAGCAAAGTTTGCAGAAGACTGAACAAAGCAACGCCATGTTGCAAATGCTTCTGGGCCAGTTCCACCTCCACCCGTCGGGGGGGGTCCGGCCCCAGCCCCAGCACCTCCTCCGCCACCACCTGCTGCGCCAGCTTCTGCTCCAGGACCAGCTGCGGCGTCGGTTCCACCCGCGGTGGGAGTAGCCCCCCCACCGTCTCTCCCGGGTTTCGGGGCACAAACTGCGGGAGGTCGGGTTGGCGGAAGCCATCAGGCCCAACATACCCGAGCGGCTGGGGGCGTTATTGGCGGGACTGTTCCGGGAGGGCGGGCTGGTGGAGGGCGTGGGAGCGGAGCACGTCAAGAGTATGTCCCGACTGTGGGCTCACGCGGGGCTGGAGGGCGAGCTACGGGGGTGAGGCGAACGGGTGGCGCGGGGAGCGTGGGAAGAGCGGGGGGGCAACGCGGCCAAGCGACCTTCCGACAGGAACGTCCGTGGAAGCCGGCAGGGTAGGATGAGTGGTAGAGTGCCGCTCGTGTTTCCTTTCTTGGCTTTGCTTGGTGCTTGGATTCCTCCTGTTTCTCTTGCCCCCTTATTTCGAGGCGGCTCCCCGGGGTGCGGGATGTCAGATGTCCGGCCCCGGCGTGTCGCTTCCTGTGTTGGTGTGTTGGTGTGTCGGTGACTTTTTGTTTTTCCTTCCTCTCGCTTGTTTGCCATGAGACAGGACGTCCCCCCCCCGCCCCCTTGACCGCCACGATCCCTGCATGATCGTTTCCTTTGTTGGCATATAGACATTTATTTGTGGTGATGCCTACATTTTTCACTGGTGTCCTAGCCAGGAGGCAGAAGGTGCCCCCGCCCCCGTCCTTCGCCACCTCGATCTTTTTTGATCGTTTCCTATGTTGGCAGTTTTTCGGTGGTGTGGTTTTGTAGGTGCTTCCCTTTTGGTTTGCCTTGAGGCAAACATCCCCCCCCCCCATCCTTGACCGCGTCGAATCCTGCATCTTCGCTTCGGTTGTTGGCTTTACTGTGTGGTCGTTGCTTGTTTTTTTTTTCCCTTGCGTTGCCATGAAGCAATACGTGCCCTGCCCCCCTCCCTCTCCCCTCCCCTTCATTGGACTACTCGACCTTTTAGCATGGTCTTTTCCTCTGTTTTCGTTCTTCGGTTGTTTTGTGATGGTTGTTCAAGTTTTTCTGCTGTTGCCACGAGGCGGAACATCCCCCCTCCTCAGCTTCGCCGCATTTGGAAGCTTGTTTCTTGTTGTTGGTTTTGTCTGCTCTACCTGCCCCAGAAGGAGGTGGAGGTGTTTGTCCCCCAATGCCTTCGCCGCCTTTGGCCTGTGCTCTCCTTTATATGTACGGTCTACAACGAGGAAGCCCTCTGCGCCTCCGCATGAGCAGCATTTTTTTTTATGATGTGCCAGGTTGGTGTTGTTTGTTTGGGATACGTGTGTGTGGTCTTCGAATGGCATACGAAGTTGCAGGTGGAACCCTGTACGTTTTGGCCCTTGGTGTAAGGCCCCGTCCTCTTTCTTCATCGTTCTACCCCCCCTTCGTTTTCCTTTGATTTGCTGTCTTGTTTTCGAGGTTGAACTTAGACCCGCCCCCCACGCGTGTTAGCCGCGTCGGCACGCGTATTTTTTTGTTTGGTGTTCGTAGGAGCAGATCGTCATGCTGGTGGTTTGGATTGACCTTCTCCCGTGCTTCTTGCGGCCGTGGCTTGCAGATTTGTCGTGCCTATGACTCTCCTACATCTTGGAATTCCGTTCATCCGTACAGACAGGACTCCCCCTCCCCCCCCCTTTTTTTCATTTCCTGTTTTTTTGTATGTTTTGTATTTTTTTAAGCCGTTGCCTACTTCCGGTGGCGGATGTGTCATTGGTCAAGTGTGATATTTGCTTCATGCTGGTAGTACCATCTCCAGTGCAGACGCTAGTACCCGCATGAAACAAAGAGCAATATGTCTACCGCTACTCCGCCATTGCGTTGGGAGATTTTGGTGGAAATGGTCCTACGCCGTAGGTGCGCACCTTGTGCTGTGGATGATGGCTTGCCCGAGCTAAATCCTTGATTGTTCTTGCCTTCATATCGGGAAGCCTAAGTTAGGTGCTTCACTGGGCTTTCTTGGGGTCGTTTTGGTCGCCGATGCATGGCTTCAAAACCGAATAAAAAACATTAGTTTCCGGCATCGTGCACCCCATGCGTCGAAACACAACGCTGTCGTCACGGAAATATGAACATCCACCATCGTTCTTTCACGAAAACCGTAGGCTGGTAATGCCACACAGCCTCTTCGTGCAACTCTCAGCTCCAACCTATCCCGACCCGTGCTGGCTAGGTCAACCCATCTTGATAACCAGGTTCAATGAACTGTATCCCTACAAACCCTACCTCAAAACGTCTCAACCGGCATCTACACACAGGGGGGGGGCGAGGAAGATACCAAAGGACCTACCAACTTTAGGGTTCACGACAACTGTGCATACCCCGTGGGTCGCGCCTATCGAATCCAACGTTTGTGCCAAACACAGGCATGGACACCGTAGTCGACCCTACCCTTCGCTGTTCAGGTAGCTGGTAAGCGACGGGGGCTTCACACCGAAATACTTGAATGTTGAGTTGCCGTAGAAGCACGAGTGACAGTTCGTCAAAATGCCGGCGACGGCGTACTGCTTGCCGAGCCGGCGGCGCTGAGCACCACCTATTGCTTCTTCGCGTTGTCTACGTACGGCCAGAGCGCGACTACTTTTCCGAACCCCCATTCCACTGTTACTCTTACGGCGCTCATGTTCGTGTTGAAGGCCTGCTGGAGAGGGGTTAGCACCCCCTTGTATGGGGCCAACAACCAGGGAGGAACTGGATGGGCAGGGTCGCCGTACAGATAGTAAGGGGTGCCTGCTGCGTCGTTGAACCACTGCTCGAGATGTTGCAACAGGGAACTTTGCCCCATCATAGCGATATCATGGCGACGCCCGAGCATCGACCCCCAGAGCTGACGGATGATCCCGTCTGGGATGTCTGCACCTTGGTACTTCAACGCATGCTTACGCTTCCAACCATTGTACCACAGCCTCTGATTACGCCTAGGCTTAGCAATCGCGCGGACGGTACGATCGATGAAGCCCCAACAACGCGTCAGCAGGCCGCCTTTTGCGTGTATAGCCTGACAGAAAATGTCAATCTTTGGGAGGATGGCTTCGTGCTGCAACTCATCGACCAGATGACCCCAGCGATCATAAATCGCTTCTATGGTGAGGTTGAAAATCTCGCAAATCATTTGCTCCGCTATTCCCCAAAAGAGCCGGTCCCTGATCAGCGTCGTGGGACAAGCCAGACGCCATATCGTAACCGCCAGCGCAATGTCCGCAGGAACCCTCGTAACACCATATCCTCCCCTGAGCAAGCGAGTGGGGATATCGAGCACCATAGATTTAAAAGTGTGTCCAAGTAGGGTCTTCTCAGGCCGCACAGTTCAATGGAGACTTGACGACAGCTAGCTGCCGATGGTACAGTAGTAGATGCCACACACACACAATCGACGAACAACGATGAAAGGTAGACGTCCACAACTTATCGAAACGAACAGTTCTGTTTTCGGCCACAGTCATTTGCGTGACGCGGTATATAGTAGGCTATTGCTGGCGGGTGGTACATAGGACCACAAAAAGAAACACACAGGGGGTGAGGGGGCTGGGTCGGAGAAGCTGTGTTCGACTTACTTCAGTATATATCAATCGGATCCTTTCGTGCTGCTGTATCATCATCAGCGTCGAACTTTGGAAGGATTGGAGCTTCTGATCCTGGGCTATATCGCCAGAGATCTGAACACAGCAGTAGCATCAACGCACACACACCCATGTTCCTATCTACTGCACAGATGCTCTCGAACACACACCACATGCGTTGACTGCGACTACTACTATACTGTTGGCAGCTGCTGCTGCCAACACACCTGTAAATTTCAATGCACTTGGGGAGCTCGAGCTCGTACAGCAGCTGACGGAAGTGAGGCTTCTCGAACCTAAATAGCTCCTTGAAGTCCATGCCCCCAATGGCATAGAAGAGGTTGTACGTCGGGTACACACCCTCGAGGATCGTGGGTGTTATCAGCTCTTCGTAGGCCTCCAATTGGACTAGGCCAAGCAAGCTCAACACGAGAAACAAGTCCTCCTCTCCGGCCAAAGCGCACAAGACGGCCACAAGCATACCCGTAATACATTCGTCATAGCGCTCAGAGCGGAGCTTAGCCCGTGCGAGGCGCGCCATGCCCCCAGGCCCGCGGGTTGTTATGTTTTCGCCGGGGGACGCCGCGGTCCTTGGTCTGGGTTTTCAAAAATATCGAATTGCGCCGCTGCTGCCCGCCGCGGGGCCCCAAGCGGCGGAATCAATTTCGTGCCAATATACTATACCAACCGTCAATTTTTCTCGTGTCAATTTAGTTGAGGTCAAAATCTTCAGGTCAATCTGTAGTGGGAACCCTAGAATATTAAGTATTGTATTGCCCGAGACAACGATAGTTGTTGCACGAAACATTCATGTGTTGTCCGAGACATTGCATCATGGGATATCATGTTATCATTATGCGCATGCTTGTACAGTATACCAACAACAACAGCAGTACATGATAAAACGAAGCGTCAACAACGTGTTTGGTCGTCGAATTCATGCAGCAAAAACGGACTAAATTGCTGGATGTATGGGTATTGATCTCTGTTCATGTATATCAAAAACAACAGGGGAAGTCAACGTGTTTGGTCGTCGGAGGCATGTAGTACACGAATACAGTACTCAAAACCCTTGTTAATCTCCGAAAATGTACCCTATCTGTCTCTGTTAAGCTGCTGTTGTCTGGCTTGACCGCCGTGCAGCGTACAAGCTGCAGAGGACCGGTTGGCTGCCAAGATGACCGACCCCGAGTTTACGGATGACCAGGAGCGGTGATTACATGTGAACTACATCAAGGCGCACACCATTCTCGGTATGCAGCCGTTCAGCTTCATGGACAACCCAGAGCGCCGCGAGTACATGGGGATGATGAACGACATCATCGACGTCAAAAACCTGAACGAGAAGCGGGTGAGAGGGATTTGAACCGTCTCGTGCATATTTACGTTGTGACCATTGACTGGCTCTTTTACCCACTGCAGCAGTGAGTGTTGATTTATGGGGGCGCCAGTTGATCTACAGAGAGGGGGGAGGTGGCGTTCATCATCATCAGCACCTAGAGAGGGGTGTGTTTGGCGTTCATCATCAGCGAGAGAGGGAGGGCTGGGGTGTTATCCTCAGCTAGCAGAGCAAAAACAATGATTCTCTCTGTTCCTCTTTCTGGGGTTGAGGTTTGATCCAGGCAGCAACTCAAAAGCGTGTGATGGGGTGACCAGAATAGCACGAAAGGCCCTGGCACACAAGTATAGAGAGCTCGCCAGCAGTACATGCATCACTAATGGTCCCAGCAGGGTGTTGGTGTGCCTCTGACCTCTCCATGTTGCTCGCTGAGGACGAAAAAACGCTGCTGCTCGTAAAAAACGCACAAGACGAAGCGCTTCCTTTCTTTCCTCGCGCTTCCTCCGCCGATAGCAACAACAGCAGTACAGGGCACAAGTTGTAGATTGCAATTTGGTGCCTAGATGGTGAAATGCCCTGCAAGTCTGCTGGGTATTGATCGAGCCTGGTCACAGACAGGACGACCCACCCCAATACTCTCGGTCGTTTTTGTTTTTTGTGCGCATACACATGTATGCGTACGTACATCACGATCCCTCTAGACTATACACATTTTTTTCGCAGAACAAAAAGCAACCCTACCGGGTCGCTCTTCGCAAAAAATACTATTAAAGTCCACCCACTGGAGGAGTTGTGCACCGAGACGGTTCGCGTATCATCAACATCAGTCCAATCTGACGTCCATCCGCTGTACGCGCGTTTGCTCCATTGTGGCCTTCAGGTAAAGCAGACGATAACCGAAGTACACGATGCTACCCTGCGGACGTTTCGCAAGGATCTGCTGGCCGTCGTGACTCCCCTGCCGGTTCTGCATGTGAACCTGGACGTGTGGAAGAGCAAGGTCTCGGGCGAATCCTTCATCGGTACGTTGGGATCAACACGTGTTTTCGGTGTTGTTTTTTTCGGGCGGTGCGCAAAGGAGAGTTTGTATCTGTTGCAAGCGTGGAGTATGTTGCTATTCAACACGAGGCGTGTTCGTTCTTAATTTTTCGCCATACGCATACATACATGCGCCGCAGAGTTTTCTTGTTCTTCTTATCTCCAACAGAAGTGATGGGACTCTTGCAAGAACTGAGAACCTTGTCGTGCCTACGACTGACCTTGTGACTTGCTACTAAGACCCGCGCACGTCTTGCTTGTTGAACGCCGCGATCTCGAACAACGCCGAAAATCAAAACGAATCGTATTCTTCAATTATTTGCAGCACCAAACGATAAGTAGTTCCACCCACACTCGGCCAAACTTGGTGAATGAAATTGTTGTGGGCGCTCAAGTGTATGGAGCAAGAGTATGGCGCGCTTGTGGGCAGGCGTGGGGAAGCAGTCCTAAGAAGACGTTGTTGTCTTGTCTTCTTTCGCCATGAAACACTTCATGGTATACCTTGTTATTAACAAGCACCCGACCCTGACCCTTACCTCGCCTCGTTCTTGTTCGTCACATATTCAGGGCTCCGAGTTTTTTTCCTCAACGCAGCATTACAGCTGCAAACGCGCCTGCTCACCATCAAGCTGTTTCGCCACTCCGCGGACCTGGGACAACTTACGGGAAAGGTCTTAAGGCTATGGCCCAACCAGGCGTTTGAGCAGTTCGGTTTGAAGGAGGAGGACTTCGCAGCCGCGACGACCGACGGAGGGCAGGACGTGAGGGCTGGGACTGGGAGCACGTGGCCACGGCTCTGGTGCCTCTGCCACCTTCTCAACCATATGATCATCGACGGCACAGGCTTGGGAAACAGCACCAAGAATGAGCTGTGCAAGGAGTTGGTCGTCGGCTGCAAGAAGATGGCTCAGCTCCTGAACCAGTCCGCCAGGGCGACCTACCGCAACACTTGACAAATTTGTTATGTGTTGTTGGCACGAGCGGGGACCTGCATACATTTTTCGGAGCCCGTTACACTTTTCGGAAGTACTTGGGGACAGAACGATAGGGCCGGCGAAAATCTCCACGATGAAGGAGCCCGGCTATACTGTTGTAGCAGGGGCACGGACATGGAATCACCTTCTCAAAGTGTCTTGTATTTTCGTTTGCATAGCTGTAGATGTGCGAAGCATCCCTTTGTCGGGATCTTGTTCCTGCTTTTCTTGCATCGCGTTGTGTTGTTTGTTGGGTCGGTAGCATGAAAGAAGGCCGCGATGAGAAATTTGTATGCTGCTAGTTCGATGACAGAAAAAATGAAAGAGTGACAACCCCCTGTTATTGTATGTTGTTCATGAAGTATGAAGAGTACGAAAGGGCCATGATTTTTGTATTCTTGGTTTTTGGCGAACGACGGCAACACAACACCAACATCAGCACTTGTGGCCGTTGTGAATGCCAGTACATTGTGGTCGATATCCAACGGGGAGTTCAGGAGTTCTTAGATGACTTAGGCGCGGAGTTGGTGTGTTTAACCGCCTTCTCCTGTTGTTTGCCGCGGGGCCGGCTAGGGGGGTCCCCTGAAAGCTTGTCGCAGCTTTTGAACGTGCGCAGGCGCCTTCCTCCCCTCCGACACGCAAAATGCCCCTGTGACATGCGAAATGCTCCGAGTCACACGTGCGACGCTATCAACGCACGTGTGAAGTTTGAGCTTGGACCCCTTCTTTTTCCTTGCGCGCTCAACAGAACCAGCTGGAGGATTTTACCGCGGAGGAAGCGGCTGACGCCGACGGCGAGGACGGGCGTGTCTCCAAGGCCAAGATCGCCCAGCCTGCCAACCAACGCTGGGTCAGCACCGCCAAAGTCTTCCACGTCATGCTCATCAAGTTCCCCAGTCTCAAGAGCTTCTGGCTAAACCACCGAAACACACCCTTCCCCTTGTTGGACAAGCACCAGGAAGTAATACGCGGGTGACTCGTGTAACCCTAACCTTCTCAGGACCTGAAGGGCATCTGTGCTGTGCTTCAACATTTGAGGGTGCTGCACCTACCATCCAGAAGTTACTTAAACATATTCTGTGTGAGTCATGCCGCTGAGGATGAACCTTGTTGCGCGTGCTTATACCTGTACCGAATTGCACAAAGAGCATGTTTGCCGTTTGATATTTATTTCGTGTCGGAAAGACCTCCACTTTGTTGGAGCCCCGGAGGGAATGCCCTATTCTGAATAAGAGCGACAAACTACCGGTCAAGAAATTGGGTCTTGAACCTATTGATTGGCGGAGAGTTTATGGTTCAGGGTTAGAACTTTTGGAATTTACAGCAACAGAGTCCGATCGGTGGGCGCCTAGGGTATAATACCTCCCTCTGTGGCCCCACCCGGCCCCATGGTTTGGATTCGCGTCTTTTCTTGGTAGTTGGAGGAAGTCTTTAGCATCCTGAACGAGGTGAAGAACACAATCGAGTTGTGCCAGTCCACGGGCGAGCCCGTTTGCCTCCAAGCGACGCAGAAGCTCCTTGCGCTTCATAGGACCACACTGAACCTGGAAGCTCCGCTGGAGATCTTCAAGGTCGCGCCGGAAGGCGGGAAGGAAAAACCTGGCGCGTTGACGGTAGCGGAACGTCCGGTGGAGAACCTTTCCGCGACAGCCGTGGAGACGCGAAAGTTGTTCCAAGAGGCACTGGCTACGCGCACCTTGAAGCTGCGGTTCGGGGACAAGTACGACAAGAACAGCTTCCTCCTGGACATGGCGATGGCACTGTCTCCGCTCGGCCGCCCGCACACTTTCCTTGAGACGCTCACTGCAACCAGCGGAAATTTCGGGACAGAAAACGAGTATTTCAAACAGGCCCCTCAGAACACCCGCGAGAGAGTTTGGGAAAACATTACCGTTCTCGGCGAGAAATCTATCGCCGAAGAGCGAGCCTGCAAGGCAGCGACCATAGGCGGCAATGATACTACCTCGGGGCAGCAACAGCAACGGCACAGGCGGCAACAGCACGGGCGGCAACGGCACCTCTGGGGGAAGCCAGGGCGCTTCTTCCAGCAACCCCCAACTTGCTGCTATGGCCACCATGCGTATCTTTGGCCCTCTACCACCCGCTGCCGGAAGCGCACCGTCGGAGCAGACATCACTCCAGGAAGCAGAGAAGGCGGTGGAAACGTGGAAGAATGCAGCGGTGAGCATT